ACACGCTGCTGACCTGGGCTGCTCGGCACGGGCAGGCCGAGGCGGTGCGGCTGCTGCTCGAGGGCGGCGCGAGCGTCGGGGCGGCTGACAGCGGCGGCGCCACCGCGCTCCTCCTCGCGAGCGAGGGGGGGCACCTCGACTGCGCCAGGCTGCTCCTCGAGGCGAGCGCAGCGGTCAACCGAGCTGCTGACGGCGGCGTCACGCCGCTGATCATCGCGTGCGAGACGGGGCAGCTCGAGTGCGTCCAGCTGCTTCTCGAGGCGGGCGCGGAGATAGAGCAGCCCATGGACGACGGCACCACGCCGCTGAGCGCTGCGAGCTTCAACGGCGAGATCGAATGCGCCCGGCTGCTTCTCGAGGCTGGCGCGGCGGTGAACCAAGCAGACGCTGAAGGCTTCACGCCGCTGTACGTCGCGTGCCAGGAGGGGCATTTCGAGTGCGCCCAGCTGCTGCGCGACGCTGGCGCGGCGGTCAACCAAGCAGACGCTAAAGGCTTCACGCCGCTGTACATGGCGTGCCAGCAGGGCCAGCTCGAGTGCGCCCAGCTGCTCCTCGAGGCTGGCGCTTCAGTCAACCAGGCCGATGAGCAAGGCGCCACGCCGCTGTTCATCGCGAGCCAGCAGGGCCACCCCGAGATCGTCCGGCTGCTTCTCGAGGCTGGCGCGGCGGTCAACCAAGCCCAGCAGCACGGCGCCACGCCTCTGTTCATCGCGTGCCAGAAGGGCCAGCTCGAGTGCGCCCAGCTGCTGCGCGACGCTGGCGCGGCGGTCAACCAAGCCCGCAACAACGGCGCCACGCCGCTATTCATCGCGAGCCAGGAGGGCCATCCCGAGTGCGTTCGGCTGCTCCTCGAGGCCGACGCTGACATCAACCAAGCGATGAACGGCGGCGCCACGCCACTGTTCATGGCGTGCCAGAACAACCACCCGGAGATCGCCCGGCTGCTTCTCGAGGCCGGCGCGGCGGCCGACCAGGCCGATGAGCAAGGCGCCACGCCGCTGTTCGCGGCGTGCGAGGACGGCCACCTCGAGGTCGCCAAGCTCCTCTCCTCCTACGGCGCCTCCCGCGCCACTACGCCCTTCGGCACGCCCGAGGAGGTTGCAACCGAAGAAGGCCACGCCGACCTCGCCGCCTGGCTGGTCGCCAGCCGCGGCTGGACGCCGCTCGCGCACCTTGAGACCCTCACCGCCGCCCGCGCCACCTCCCTCCTGCGCAGCGGCGCAAGCTTGCACGAGGGCGAGCCGACGCCGCTGCGGCGCGCAGCGGGCGGCGAGGGCGAGGCGGCGGCGCTGGTCCGGCGGGCGGCGTCGCCGTGGTCGCCGGCAAGCCACTCGCTCTTCCCCGCGGCGGCCCGCGCGCGGGCGGCGCTCCTCGTCCTCTCGATCTACGAGATCCACGAGCGGTACCACCTCGACTCGGCAGGAGCCACGAACGGCATCGCGGCGCTCGACTTTGGCCACTGCGTCTTGGGCTTCGCCATCACGCGCGAGACGGAGTAGGCCGGAGCCGCGGTGAGAGTCTTTGCCTCGGCTCCGACCATGGTCGTGGCTCGTGCTGCTTGCTGTCTTGGGTCCGGAACCGCTGTTTGGATTGGGAGAGTGCGCATGTTTTCGCGGCGGGCGGGGGGGGGGGGGGGGGAAAAAACAACCCCCCCGGGAGGGCGATGGGGGAGATTGTAACAAAATGCCACGTTCACATATTCCAGGGGTCGGGTCTGGCTCTGGTAGAGGGTGCGCAGCGTCCTAATCTAAAATTTGAGGATTCAGGATTCAGGCATCGCTACAGTGAGGTCAAAGTGAGTTTATGGATGTGTGAGAACGGACGGAACGGGACACGAGGAGTCACGCGGACCGACTCGTCGGTGACTCTGCTGCACGCCGTTTCAGAATTTTTCTCAGCGTGAGCGAGACGTGGAAGAGTGCCACCGTCGGGTAGGACGGGTCGGCCCGGAGTATCAGAGTAGCCGTCGTGGTCGCGGCGAGCAGCACCGGCCGCTCCGCCTCCGGCGCTGCGTCGGCAACATGGGAGCATGTCCACCGCCACTTCGCGGTCGCAGCGCTGTTGTCGCCCGAAACGCCGCATGTACCTCTGGCGGGCCAAAGATCGACTCGCATGTCGATTTCGACATGACGGGCGCATGGAGGCATCACGTCTCCTCTCTCCATGCGCCCGTCAAGTCGGAGCCAGTCTGCGGCGACCACAGCGCTTGCAGGAGGTACATGCGAGCTTCTCAGAGTCAAATTTTTGCGCGAAATCCCAGACGGGGATTTTGGGGCGCTGTCTACCCCCTAGGAGTCAGGGCTCCCTAGCCCGTAGCCCGCTCGCGGACTACTTCGCGGTGTGCAGGCTGCCGACCAAGCTGGAGGTTCGGGCGCCAGAGGCGTGGGGCACCAGGCCGGGCTCGGCGGGGCGGGCTCTGCACCTGCGAGAGCCGGGGCGGGCTCTGCACCTGCGAGAGCGGCGCGTCGATGTGCCCCATCAGTGCGTTGAAGAGGAGCAGCGCACCGATGTCGTACGGCCCGGGCAGGCACCAGTGGCCGCAGTCGTGCGGCATGTGCCCGTCGGGGCGCCGCTCGAGCATCGTGGTGACGTCGAGGAAGGTCGCGCCCGCCGTGCGCGTCACGTTCTCGCCGATCCGGTTCAGGAGGGCGTAGTTATGCTGGCCAGGCTTTGGCCCCTTGCCCGGCACAACCTCGCGGCCCCCGACCTTCGTCTTGCAGGAGAAGTGCGCGTACGAGGCCGAGAAGAGGACGAACGACCTCGCCCACTCCGGCGCGCCCATGCGGCTGCGCGCGAGGTCGAGCAGGCCTTGCAGGTTGGCGGCGAAGGACTTGTCGTCGTTGTGGAACCACGCGAGGACCTGTCGAGACGCGGCAGCCGTGAAGCGCAGCCGGCGCGAGGGCATGTCGCAGTCCAACTCGCGGGCCAGCTGTCTGGGCAGTCCAACTCGCGGGCCAGCTGTCTGGGCAGTCCAACTCGCGGGCCAGCTGTCTGGGCAGTCCAACTCGCGGGCCAGCTGTCTGGGCAGTCCAACTCGCGGGCCAGCTGTCTGGGCAGTCCAACTCGCGGGCCAGCTGTCTGGACGCCTTGCGTCCTGCCCGCCGCTCGCCCACACGCCGCCGAGGGAGTGCGGTGGCTCGCGCATGCGTGCATGGGGCGCGCCTGCGTCACCAGCAGCGTGCGCGGCCCGATCCGGTGCGTGAAGGGGTACTGGTGGCGGTAGCCGGACGTTGGCTCCACCGTGTTGAGGCTCAAGCCCTCGTTGCGCACGAAGGAGACGCGAAGCGGCGCGTGCTGCCCCTTGCCCGGCACGTCCTCCACAAAGTCGAGCCGCAGCGCCGCCGCGTCGTCGATGCACGCCACCGCGTCCGCCTTCAGCTCGGCGATCGGAATGTCGCCGAAGACCATCGCTCCCGACGGCGCCGTGCGAGGCGCGCCCTCGTTGCGCAGGATGGAGCCGCGCAGCAGCGAGACGAACGAAATGAAGAGCTGGCCTGTGAACGAGTCACCCACGAACAGGATGTCGAGCGGCGGGTCAGCGCGAGGCCGCCGCGCGTGCGACCCGTCGCCGCGCTTGCCAAGGACGAGCCGGCGGCAGAGCGCCCCCGCGTCGAAGGGTTGCAGTTCGCATCTGGCCGGCTGCCACCGCTGCTGCACGGCCTCGCGCGTCGCATTGTCGGCCAGGCCCTCGTCGCAGGCGCCCCAGAATCGTCGGCCCGCATACGCCCAACCCTTGACGAGTGGGTTGCGCTGCACGTCGCGGTGTAGCCTGTACGGCGCCGCCTGCTCTGGCGTCGGCACCCACCGACCATCCCTGTACCCATGCTCGCCACAGCCCTTACGGTGGCTGGTCTCGTCTTGAGCTGCGGCGGAGGCCAGCAGCAGCAGCAGCATCTGGCGCGGGCTGGCGTTCGATCGGTACTGATACCTTATCTCCACCGAGCGTGCCGCTAGGGACGCCGGATGATTTACTTTTTTGGACCCTGCTCGAGATGCAGGTGCGCAACCCGTCCGCCCTAATTTGCGCGTACTTACTTAGACGATACCTGCGTCGCGGACGCGCCGAGGGCGGCTCTCGAGACGATGCTCGAGGGCGACGACCTTGCTCAACTCTGGAGTGGCGTCGAGAGCAACAAGTCCAAGCGGTGCATGTGGGCCCCCGACCCGCGCTCGCTCGACGCGGTGCGCGACCGCACGGATGTCAAGGGCACGCCGGACTCCGCAGACGGCGTCCTTCGCGGTATTCGCGTGCTCGGGGCGTACCTCGGGGACAAGGCGTGGTGCCGTGACAAACTCGTCAAGCGCGTCCGCAAGGCGCTGGAGCCGCTCTCGGGCATCATGGCGCTGCGCGACACCAAAACGATCCACACCGCGCAGCAGCTCGCCCAGGTGCTCCTCCGCTTCTGCAGCAACACCACGCTCACCTTCTTCCTTCGCACTATGCCGCCGTCGGTGACCCAGGACGCCGCGCGCGAGCACGACCGCCTGATGGAGGAGGCGCTCTACACCCTTATCGGGCCTTCAAAGAGAGACATGCGCTTTTGGCCGGTGACCTCTTCGGACCCAGGGAGATGCGTTCCGCGTGGTGTGAAACAACCGAGAGAGGCGTTAGTGAGGTGCGTAAGCGGTATGCGGTCAACACCTAATCTGAGCGCTGAGTCTGTGTGGCAGGCTCTCTCTCTCTCTCTCTCTCTCTCTCACTCTCTCTGTGGGGCTCTCTTACGATCATACACCTGGAGCCGGACTGCTGGAGACAGGTTTCTTGCGGGCGGTGGGAGGTGCGGTCAAGGCAACCGCTGCGGCAGGGAGGCACACAAAAAGTCGAAAGAAATCTGAGAGCGACGACGAAAATGGGGAAACCGCGACAATCAACGAGGCGAGACGCCACGGGTGTCCGACGTGTGTAGGACGCAACATACCGGTCATACGAGCTCGGATTTGAAGTGTGGCACAGACCCGCGAGGCGCGCCCGACGGGCGTGGCGGCTGGTAGCTTCCTATTCACAGACAGGAGGGAGTCAATGAGGGAGTCTTGTTCAATGCAGACGGCCATAAAGCGGTCGGTCGGTTGCCCGTTGTCGAGAGGCGGCCGCGCATCGAGGTGGCCACTGACTGCGAGCGGTACTGGCTCAGGCCGTGCCCCTTGAAGCCCAAATCGTCGCCCTCGCGCTCGGCGAAGGCGAGGCTCGCACCCCGCGTGCTGGCGTACGGGTTGTTGCCCGCGTCCTTGTTAGCGGCGGCGGCGGCGTGGGCGCGCCGCCGCCGCACCACGCCGTCGACGCCGTGGTGGACGATAGTGCGTTTCCAGAGCTGTGTGGCGAAGAGGACGCCGAGCATGTAGGTGACAGCGGTCATCGTGATGGACTCCCACAGCGTCGAGACGTTGGCGCCGAGGAAGGTCTCCCCCGCGTCGCGATGGAAGGAGCCGATACAGGCCATCATCGCGGCCGATCCCGGCGCAAACACAAAGAGGGCCGGCACGACGCAGACCACAGAGGAAAGGCCTGTGTAGAACTCGACCGCGTTGCCCGCGCTCGCAGTGACAAAAGAAACGATGATATTTTGGAGGTAGGAGGGGATGCCCGCCGCGGTTGGCAGGCCAAAGGCGAGAAAGCCGGTGGTGACAGTGCCGCAGAGGCCGCACGCCAACGGTCCGAGCGATTCGCGCGGCCGGATGTTGAGATTAACGTTGATGAGGGCGAGGAGGGGCAGTGCGACGACCGTGTGCACAAAGTACCAGGTCACCACCTCGGGCACGCCCTCCGTCGGCACCTGCCACGGCGCGGGGCACCAGATCGAAGGCGGCAGCGAGGTCAGCGACCCCTCCAGCTCGACGCCGTCGTTTGGATGGACCGTCGGGTCGCCGAGCGCCCAGTGCCGACCGAAAAACTGCCAGCCGAGGGTGATGAAGATGGCCATCAGCATGGCCTGGAACATGCCGTTGATCATGCGCGAGCCGCCGTGGATGAGCGAGCCACCCGCGATCTCGAGCGATCCCCAAATGATCTGACAGCCGGGCAGGTGGATCAGCAGCGGCCCGATGAACTGCGGCCCGATGTGGCAGATGGGCTGCCCGCCGTTGCTCAGGTAGTGCCAGACGAAGGGTGCGCCAACGCCGACGGCGAAGCAGACCAGCATCAGCTCTAGGTGCGAGATCCTGAAAAGCTTACCCACGTGCATCGCGGCGATGAGGATGGCCGTGTTTACCGCCGCGCCGAGCGTGTCGTACGGAACGGAGCCGTGGTAGGCCACCACCGAGGCGAGGATGCCAATGCCCTCGAAGGCGAGGATCTGGACGAGCCAGCCGTAGGGCAGAGGCCGCTCGAGCAGCTCGTCGCAAACGCGTAGCCCGACGTGCGCAGAGCGACAGTCGCCGTTCGCGATGGCGGTGCAGAGCGAGGTCAGGTCAGCCAGTCCCGAGAATACGAGGTCGCGGCCACAGCGCAGCTGGTGCGGCCCGAAGGAGCCGAACGAGACGTCGAGCACGCGGTGGCCGACAGAGATGTACGGCGTCGGCAGCTCGAGCGCGGCGGCGGCGTCGCCGATGAAGAGTTCCACGTCGACGCTGCAGTGGCCGCACGCAAAGAGGCCGAGAGCAAGCTTGAGGATCAGGACCACCTACGAGACAAGCACAGCGCAGATCTCGTGGCCAAGACCGCAAGCCCCGCTGGCAGTGGCCACTGACACCTTGTCCGACAGCGCGTCGTCGGTGGTTCGCCCCTTGTACCGCTCGCGCACCTCAATCTCGCACACGTCCGAGTATGGGCCGATCGGTGTGTACGCGCGCGCATCGTTGCGGGCCAGGTCCGGGTTGGCCTCTGCCACGTCGATGAGCTCATACACAGTTGGGAGCCTGCAAGGTGGGGAGGCGGCGGGCAGTGCGGTGGAGACGATTCTCCTTCAGCGTGGTCGGCGTGGCGGTGGACCCTTGGGCGGTCTGAAGAAGGGGTCGGATCCGTAGCGGTCTCTGGGTGAATGCGCGGCTGGAAACGTGGATCATCTACAGAGTCGGACACCGAGAGAAGTCAATGTAAAGCCCGTTGCAGATGTGAGCAAAGCAGCCGCCCCTGCTGAGCGTGTCCGATAGCCGGTCCATCTTGCGCCAGAATGAAGGCCAGCCCTTCATCGCAAACATCTGAATCGAAGGCAGCGTGAGCAGGAAGATGACCAGAAAGAAGACACCGACGAGCTCCTTCGAAGCCTCACCATTCTCGCCACGGAAGAAGTTGAGAGGCGTCTCCGCCGTGCTGCGCTCAATCGCCTCCTGCAGGGAGTGGTCTTGAGTGGCCAACCCCGCTGGGAGGGCCTGGTCTGACATGCTGCCGGCGATCGGTATGCGGATGATGCGAATGGGTCGCTCGTCGGGTCCCGAACTGCGGTCTATCGCAGCTGTCTTTTTTTTTGAGCTAGACTTCGTTGTTAATAGGAACAAGCGAAGGCACACACGATGACGCCAAACACACGATCGCACGCACCGCATCGCACCTCGCACCCGCGCCCGCCGCCCCCCCGACCCTCGCCCCGCCTAGGTGGGAAAGAGATGAGGAGATGGGACAGCGAAGGAGGAGCACGAGCGAGCACGTATGGGAGGGTTCAGTAATGCGCCACGCTGCCCGGCGTTTCTCACTTTCCGGGACAGCCCCGCCCTTTTGGGGCAGGAAAGGGGGGGTTTCCCCGTAGGCCCCTGCCGTTTTTTTTGTGGCGGGCCGCCCATTCCCCCCTCTTGGTTCCCCCCTGGGGGAGCCGATAATTGTGGAGCTTTTCCCCTGGGGGCCCCCCCCCCCCCCCGGACCCCCCCCCCCCCACACACACACACACCGCCGCCGCGCGAGCGCCGCGCGGCGGCACACCCAGCTCAAAAGAAAAAGAAATCTCTCTTCTCAGCTGTCTGCTTCGCACTTGAGCACTTGAGCACTGGATAGGGTCGATTAAGTTTTCTTCCCCCACCCCCCCACCCCTGATAGGAAGGCACGGCTCTCGATGAGAACGATGGGCTTGCCCATCCCGGAGTGGTTCGATCCCACATGAATCCGAGACGGTGACGGGTGTTGTCTCGGTGATCTCAGGCCCAGTGAGGTAGTGCATCAGACTATCCCGGATCCTGCTGACCAAGCTCCTCTTGTAGCTCGATCGGTCACACCACCATCGCCGTCGGGGAGAGGGGGGACGACACTGCTTCGGCAGCGTGCACCTCGATCCTGTACCGTGTTTGTTATGACCCCCCCCAATGAACATGCCAGTGAGGGAGGGCGAGACGATCGAGGGGTCCCGTACCACGCGGAATCGGCCCTATCCAGTGCTCAAGTGCTCAAGGTAGGAAGGTGAAGAAAGAACAGTCAGGCTCGGACTGGACCCCAGCGCGGTATGGGTGGACGCGAGACAGAAGAGGACGGCACGCGTGAGCGACACACAGACACACACAAGCTCACAAGTTCGTGCAGAAGAACCCGCAGCTTTTCTTTTCCCGCTTGAAAATTCGTCTTGTCTTTTCGCCTGCGGAAACGACCAGGGATACATGATATGCCAACCCCCGCGCGGCGCGCACGCCGCCACGCCGGCTCCGGCAGCTACTTTCTCGTTCTCTGTGGACTGTGGACTACGTATACATATAGCGTAGCGACCAGTGAGCAGCAGCAAGATGCAGCAAGGGGCCGCAGGCACACATTACTCGGGCTGTGTTTTCTTGGTGTGCGCTGTGGGGGAGACACGATGGAATCCAATCAGCGTACTTGCTCCCAAGCCGTACCAAACGGCGGCGTGCCCCAGCCACTCTGGCCGTCTTGCGGCGGTCACTTCCAGACCGCACTTATTTCTTTTCCCGCCCGGCTTGAGCTCCGTTTGGTGGCTCGGTGCGCGGTCGTGTCGCCCGCCACTCTTCCTTCTGTTTCCGCTGAGCTGCAGCGTCGTGTTGATGCGAGTCAGGGCGACTTTGGCGTCTGCGTCCGTGGTGGCAGCGCTGGGCCTTGTCATACGCAGCCTCACGCAGGTTCTCCACCGCCTCCGTGAGGCTGAGGCAGCTGGTGCTGCTGAGGCGGCTCGCGCTGATGCTGAGGCAGCCCGCAAGCATGAGCTTGCCTGTGAGCTGCTCACGCTGCGCAATCTTCTCATCTCGACACCTGCCTCGGTGGAGACTCGCTTCGTCCCCGCGCCGAGCGACGTCTTTGTCGTCGGCTACCCGCGGTGTGGCACGACGTGGGTCAGCCAGATCGTACACGCGCTGCGCACAGGGGCAGAGGTCGAGAAGACGATGGCCTTCGGCGAGATCAGTGAGGTCGTCCCGTGGGACGTCCAGGCCGAGGCGTGTGGCCAGCGGCTGAACTCGCCGCAGGCAAGCGTGCCTCTTCCTGCCGCCTCCTCCCGCCCTGCCGCCTCTCTTCTCGCCGCCGCCTCTCTCCTCCCGCCCTGCCGCCTCTCTTCTCGCCGCCGCCTCTCTCACTCCTGCCGCCTCTCCTCGCACGCCGCCTCTCTCACTCCCCGCCCGCTCACCCCCCGCCCCCCCTCCCCTCCCTGTGCGCAGGTGGGCGTGCCGCGCGCCTTCAAGTCGCACGAGACGTGGGAGGCGATCGCTAAGGCGAGATTCCCCGAGATTCCCCGAGATTCCCCGAGATTCCCCGAGGTTCCCCGAGATTCCACGAGGCGTGGGAGGAGATCGCTAAGGCGGCCGCAATGCATGGCCCTCTCTGCCGCGTCTCTCTCTCTCCTGCCCTCTCTGCCGCGTCTCTCTCTCTCTCCTGCCCTCTCTGCCGCGCCTCTCTCTCTCCTGCCCACTCTGCCGCGCCTCTCTCTCTCCTGCCCTCTCTGCCGCGTCTCTCTCTCTCCTGCCCTCTCTGCCGCGTCTCTCTCTCTCCTGCCCTCTCTGCCGCGTCTCTCTCTCTCCTGCCCTCTCTGCCGCGCCTCTCTCTCTCCCCTGCCCTCTCTGCCGCGCCTCTCTCTCTCCTGCCCTCTCTGCCGCGTCTCTCTCTCTCCTGCCCTCTCTGCCGCGTCTCTCTCTCTCTCCTGCCCTCTCTGCCGCGTCTCTCTCTCTCCTGCCCTCTCTGCCGCGTCTCTCTCTCTCCTGCCCTCTCTGCCGCGTCTCTCTCTCTCTCCTGCCCTCTCTGCCGCGTCTCTCTCTCTCTCCTGCCCTCTCTGCCGCGCCTCTCTCTCTCCTGCCCTCTCTGCCGCGTCTCTCTCTCTCTCCTGCCCTCTCTGCCGCGCCTCTCTCTCTCCTGCCCACTCTGCCGCCTCTCTCTCTCTCCTGCCCTCTCTGCCGCGCCTCTCTCTCTCCTGCCCTCTCTGCCGCGCCTCTCTCTCTCCTGCCCACTCTGCCGCGTCTCTCTCTCTCCTGCCCACTCTGCCGCGTCTCTCTCTCCCCTGCCCTCTCTGCCGCGCCTCTCTCTCTCCTGCCCTCTCTGCCGCGCCTCTCTCTCTCTCCTCTGGCCGCCTCTCGTTCTCCTTACCGCCGCCCTGCTGCCCTCACCGCCCGCCCGCCCCCCCCCTCCTCCCTCCTCTCCTCCCAGGGCGCGCGCTACATCTCCCCATATCTCCCCATATCTCCCCATATCTCCACATATCTCCCCATATCTCCCCATACCTCCCTCCCAAATCGCGCGCTACATCTACATGGCTCGCGACCCGGTCGACGCCTTCCTCTCCTGCTACGAGCACCTGCCCGCGCACGCGGACCTGCCCGATCTCGGGTAATCTCGGGTAATCTCGGGGAATCTCGCAGGCACCTGCCCGCGTACGCGAACCTCCTCCCCGGCGACCTCGAGCCGCAGCAGTTCGCGGACGCGAGATTCCCCGAGAGTCCCCGAGAGTCCCCGAGATTCCCCGAGATTCACCGAGATTCCCCGAGATTCCCTGAGATTCCCCGAGATTCCCCGAGATTGACCGAGATCCCCCGAGATTCCCTGAGATTCCCCGAGATTCCCCGAGAGTCGCCGAGATCGAGAGTACCCGAGAGTCCCCGAGATCGTGATCTCGACTGCAGGCGCTGTTCGCCGGCGCCGCGCGCGCCGGCCAGATCTGGCCGCACTTTCTCGGCTGGTGGAAGCAGCGCCGCAATCCGGACGTGCTCTGGGTGTTTTGTATCTCGGCTATATCTCGGCTGTATCTCGGCTGTATCTCGGCTGTGTCTCGGCTGTGTCTCGGCTATATCTCGGCTGTATCTCGGCTATATCTCGGCTATATCTCGGCTGTATCTCGGCTGTATCTCGGCAGGTGTTTTACGACGACCTGCACGCGGTGAAGACTTCCTTCCTGAAGTCACTTCATGATTCAGACAGACACCGACACGTGGCCTCACGCAAGTCTGAATAGCTCGAGTGATCTTGACTACTCTCCCTAATGAACTAGGACTTGCCTGGCTGCATCGCGAGGGTGGCAGAGTTCCTCGGCCTCGCGGAGAGCGAGCCAGCGGCGCTAGAAGCGGAACCTCTCCCCCTCTCCTCGCCACCTCTCCCCACCTCTCCCCACCTCTCCCCACCTCTCCCCACCTCTCCCCATCTCTCCCCACCTCTCCCCACCTCTCCCCACCTCTCCCCACCCCTCCCCACCTCTCCCCATCTCTCCCCACCTCTCCCCATCTCTCCCCATCTCTCCCCACATCTCGGGCCCTAGAAGCGGAATATCTCCCCATATCTCCCCACCTCTCGGGCCCTAGAAGCGGAGGACGTGTTCATGTCTCCCAACCAGCGCCCGAGCTGCCTGCTGCTGCCGCGGGGCCGCTTCACCGCTGCTCCTGTGTGGGAGGAGACCCCAGGGAGGGGAGGGCAAGGGAGCGGAGGAGGAGGAGGCAACGGGGATGCCAAGAGAAGAGAGGGAGGGGGAGGGGGAGGGGAAGGGGGCGGAGGGGGCGGAGGGGAGGAGCAGCGTGAGCAAGACCCGAGCCCCCGCGAGGTTCAGAGCAGAGATATGGGGAGATATGGGGAGATATGGGGAGATGTGAGCCCCCGAGCCCCCGCGAGGCTCACAGCAGGGTGAGAAGAAACAAGAGCCTCGCATGCGACGACAGTGAGGGTGTGAGAGACAGACCCAGGGAAGGTCTTTCACTCTCTTTCACAGCGGAGTGGCCGGGGGCTGTACCAGACAGAAGACTCGAGAGGACACGGACACTCGCACCCCTCGTACTCACGCGGTGCTCTGAGGACACTGCACAGTCCCGCCTCCCCGAGGCTGGCGTATTCATCTCTCCCCGCCCCGAGGCTGGCGTATTCATCTCTCCCCGCCCCGAGGCTGGCGTATTCATCTCTCCCCGCCCCGAGGCTGGCGTCTTCATCTCTCCCCGCCCCGAGGCTGGCGTCTTCATCTCTCCCCGCCCCGAGGCTGGCGTATTCATCTCTCCCCGCCCCGAGGCTGGCGTATTCATCTCTCCCCGCCCCGAGGCTGGCGTATTCATCTCTCCCCGCATCTCTCCCCGCCCCCGAGGCTGGCGTGCTCGGCACGTAGGCCGGCCACGCTAGAGCGCACCGCCGCGCTCTGCTCCTTCGACTTCATGTCGGCGGCCGACAACGCGCCGCACTTTGACGACCACTTCGTGCGCGGGCAGCGCCGCCGTTGCACGCCGCCGTGGCGCGTCGGCGACGCGTCCAGCGAGGCCGTGTTTCGGGGACGTAGGCACTCTCTTCGTCCGCTGGTGCGGGTCATCTCGGATAATCTCGGGTAATCTCGGGTAATCTCGGGTACGTAGGCACGTGCTGCCGCGGATGGGACTGCCGCGGGACCTGCCGGCGCGCGTCTCAAAGGTGTGCCACGGCTGTATCTCGGCTGTATCTCGGCTGTATCTCGGCTGTGTCTCGGCTGTGTCTCGGCTGTGTCTCGGCTGTGTCTCGGCTACATCTCGGCTATATCTCGGCTGTGTCTCGGCTGTGTCTCGGCTATATCTCGGCTGTATCTCGGCAGGTGTGCCACGGCGTCGTCGGCAGAGGCGCGCGCGAGCTGCCCGCCAGCGTCGTCGAGCGGCTGGCGGCGCGCTGGGCAGAGACGATGGTCTCCGAGACGGGGTGCAGCAGCTACAGCGAGTTGCGAGAGGCGTACTCGCACGAGCGACCGCTGACGCCCGACACGGCCTTCACCTACGGCCTGCAGGCGCCCCCCCTGCCACCACCGTGTCACCCTCGCAGCCTCGCCGGCTGTAGGCGTACGCGCCCGACCGACCGCGCTTCTCGGCCTCGTGGTTCTCGCTGCCAAACAGCCTGAGCCCCGCCAGCAGCGGCAGCCACTGACGCGCCCGCCCGCGAGGCCCGCGGCTCCTTTTCAGCCTCGAGACCTCGGGACGCGCCGGTGCCTCGACGCGTCGAGATGGAGGCGACGGAGCGACGGGCCTCGGGCTCGGCCACCAAATTGAGGGGACCGCCGGAGCAGCCGCAAAGGATGTTGCGCGCCCCTTCGGGGTCCGTGCCCCCAGGTTTCACGCAGCTCGCTATGTTGCCGCGGCGGGCGCCTATGTAAAATTGCGCTGAAATCATGGCTGAAATCAACTCCGGGTGATAGACGACGGCCCCATGCCCTACGAAGACGTAAGTAAGAGAGACAGAGAGAAAGAGAGAGTTTTTGGCAAAAATAAATTTTGGTACCTTTTTTGTATTGTATTCCTAACCTAAAATCTCTCTCAAAACACTCTCAAGAGATCCTCTCTCAAAAAAGTTGACCTCGGAGCAGGTTGACCCCTCGTGCCTCGAGGGATCGTTGGGAGGTAGAGGCACACGAGGAGGGCGGCGACGACCGCAAGCGCAACCGACTATGGAGGACCGCCGTCGCCAGCTGGCAGATGGACCAGGGGGGTAATAGTAGCGGGAGCGTGAGGGGTGGTCCAGCTGCTGAGGTGGTAGTATAGGGGGCAGATGGACCAGGGAGGGGGGGTAATAGCAGCGGGAGGGGAGAGTAGGGAGGAGTTGGTGTTGAATCCCCCCACCCCTCACACCCCCCTCCACCCCCAGCTCCCACAATGCACCTGCCCGGTCACGATCCACCCGCTCGGCCAGCGCAACGCCGCGCTCGTCACGCCGCTCGGCTACCACGTCGCCTCTGGCGAGGCCGCCAAGGCAGCCCACGCTCGGGGCCGATCGGCGAGATGGCCGCGACGCGCCCGCCGGGCGCCAGATTCTGGACGGGGTGCTAAAACTGCGTCGGGTAGGCTACTTGGTCGGCCGTCAGCAGGCCCAGCAGCCGAGATCGCCAATTTGGGCGGGCTTGAATATCCCGGTACAGGATTCACGCCCCGACGGCCGGGCGCGAGCACGGCGCCCAGAAGCGCTTTTGCGTCCGACTCTTGGCTGTTCCAGGGGGGGAAGCCACTGAACACGGCTGAGCATCGCGTCGTGCGTATTATCGGTGACGGCGATCGACCCCTCTCAGCGCCCCGCCCGGCGACTCGATCGACGTGCACCCAGGGGCGACCCCGCCGACCGAGTCGACGACCGTGCCGCCCTTGCAGTAGCCGCGCGCGCTTCAGAATCAGCACCGGGACGCCCAGCCAGGTGCTGTAGCCCCTCTCGGCTCGCTCGTACTCGAGTAGCGAGCAGAATGCCTCGGTGGCAAGTTTAGTAGGCAACTAGTTGGAGTATTTTCTTACTTCTACTTCGCGGAGCCGGACCAGATACTGGGATACTTCGCAGCAGGCCTCAAATACTGGGATACTGTAAAAGATTCCCCTTTGAGATATGGCGCAGTAATAATACTTCAATACTCCGAGCTGGTACCGCGGATACTTCGATACTCGTGATGACGCACACGGTGAGTATCACAGTAATCGATCCACGCCGGCGAAGTATCCCAATATCGCAGAGCTAATTGCGCTGCGGCCGCAGTCGTACGTCCGGCAGCGGGATGCGAGGCAGCAGCTAGGTGGGGAGGGGTTGAGCCAATTGAGCAGCGTGGGCAAGCGAAGACTGCCGTAAAGTGTGTGCCCGCGCCCTGCCGGCGCAATGGTGTAAACGCGTGTGCAAGGGCTGGCGGGGTGGGGAAGGCGGCAACGGCACGAGATGGGCGAAGACGGCTGAGGCGCCAGTGCTGGAACTGAGGGAGAGTGTCGTGGCAGTGCACTGGTGCTGGTGCTGTGGTGTGGGGAGGAAGACTCACATCGGGGAGGCGTCACGGCCGCGAACATTGAGCGCAGCAAGGTGGTCACGTCCTGCGGCGCACGCACAGGAATCATAGTACATCACACAGCAGCTGTGCCGTAAAAGGGTCCCAGAGCTATCTCGGTGGCTAGGGGCGCTGGACTGGCTGGGCGCGTCAGCTCCCACAAGCGCACCGCATGCGATATCAAGTTGTGATGCAGCGTCAGCCTTGGCAATTGAAGCTTGGCGCCGGCACGCAGGAGCACCAGCGTGCTCGCATTGCCTGCAGCGCTTGAATGGCGTGTGCAAACTTTTGCATCTCAGGCGGCCGGGCGTAGCGGCGCCTCTCGCAAGTGCTGTGACCGTGTCGAACGGTCGAAAGTTCGAGCGTGGCAGTACGACCAGACGTCGTGGTCGGCGCGCGAATGGATGCCGTTTGCGCTGCAGCGACTGTCGGTGCAGCTCTGGACGGCGCTCGCGGACGAGGCACAGCGCGCCATTGGTGCGGCGTCGCGCGACCGCGAGGGACCGCGGGGGGGGGGGGCTAGCGGGATGGGGGGCTCTAAGGGGAAGGGAGCGGGGGGCGCCCAGTAGGGCGCCGGCGCCCCAGCGTAGAGGGCCTCGTGTAGCCGTTTTTGGTATTATAAAAAGTTCGAGCGTCATGTCGCGGAAGTTCCTTCGTGTCTCCTCCCGCCAACCCCGCACGACCCCAATCGGCCGCAAACCGCCACACAGCAGGCTCTGGTAACCGACGCTCCTCTTTGCTTGGCGCCGGACCGTCTCGAGTGAACCCACCGGTGTGGGCGCCGCCGCTGAGCATCACGGCAAACGGGTGACGGACCTGCACATAAAACGAATCACCTCGGCCGACCCTGCCGCTGCGGCCGACGATGTCGGATGCTCTCGAGCACTCTCCAGCGCCGGGCACGGTCCTGACACAGCCGGCCGTGCTTCACCGCCGCTGTTCAGCTCGGCGGCAGAAATGCAGCGGATACGAGCTCTTTACGGACTGTCGAGCGGCAGTCGGAGAACTCGTGAGCTTCCACACATCACAATTCCTGCCGATGCATTCTGGAACAATCACATAACGCCTGCCATCACCACAGCCCACTTGCGACATTTGTGTCCCAAGCCGGTCCGCAGTATCCCAGTATCCCAGTATCCGGTATCCACATCAGCCGGGGATGCTCTAGGGAGGGGTGCAGCTGCATGGTGACAACTACCAGTGAGAAGGATGGGGGTGGCTGCTGGACCATGGCTTACACACGGGCACACTTCCATGAATTGCCAGTATCCAGCAGTATCCAGCAGTATCCCGCAGTATCCTGCAGTATCCCAGTATCCGATGCGCCGGCTCCGAGTATTGCGGTGAAAATACTGCGCGATACTGCCATGGCCACACTACTTCAGTAACACAATATCTGCATGCCCCAGGCCCAGTATCGCAGTATCACCCTCGCGGCAGAGAGGTATTTGCGCCACCGATACTTGACCTTCGCTTGCGGGATATTGGGATACTTGGCCAAGGGCCGTGTGCAGGTAGCATGCAGTATTGCAATAAAAATACTTCCTTTGCGTGTCTGAAATACTGGAATACTGCGCCACCGCACCTCGGATACTGGGATACTGGAAATACTGTGAAATACTCCAACTATGCTTGAGTTCTTTTGTTTGTTTGTTTGTAGAGAGAGTTGTTTTGTTTAAATTTTCTTTTGTTGAGAGGGATTCGCCGAGAATTCTTTTGTTTGATAGTACTAGCACGCGCCAGTTCGCACCTGTGTCGAGCCTGTCTGCTGTGAGAGAGAGTTGTTTTGTTTAAATTCTTTTGTTTCACCTCTCGTTGCCTACCCCACCCGGGTATTGCAATACCACGACAAGACCGAGACACGAGCGACCCACGACGATGGGCAAACTACGGCTCTCCTTGGCCAAGAACGCCGGTGCCGGTAAGGGCACCGTCAGCAGCGTCGTGCTCGTCGAGCCGCGGCACGACGAGATCGCAAAAGCGGCCAACAACAAGCTCAACCTCAGGCTCAAGAGCACCCGCAACGTTCGGCTATTTCTCAAGCAGAGGGTGGGCGTGCACGCGGCTGGCACCGAGCTGCCGGTTGGCGACTGTACAGACTACCTCGCCAACGACGTTGTCGTGCTGGTGAGCGTCGGCGAGGCCGCGGCCAGCCGACCCGCCTCGAGCTTTTGCGGCCTCGACAGGGCGGCGCTCCCGCCGCTGCCACGCTGGCCCGCAAGCGACACTGGCGACGACGAGACAGACGAGGCGGTGGAGGCCACGCCAGCATCCGCCGGACCGTCATCATCAGCAGTTTCTACAACAAGCTTCGCCGTGCCGAATCTGCCGCGGCTACCCGTCTCTCAGGACCTGCGCTTCCACGGCCGGCACGTCGTGCTCGAGGGCGACGTCCTGCCGCTGATCCGGCAGGCGGTCGCGGGCTGCAGCGGCTTCTCCGAGACCAACCACGGCCGCTACGTCGCCTTCGACTACAGCGCCGACCGCGGCGGCGGCGGCGTCGCCGGCATGTTCCCGCCGCCCGAGCGCCACCACCGCGGCTCCCGCGAGCGCTGGTTCGCCGCGGCACGGCGCGAGTGCCGCGGGCTTCTGCTCTGCGCGGCAACGGGCGCCGTGTTGGCGCGGCGCTTCCACAAGTTCTGGAACATCGACGAGGTGTCCGAGGCGGCGGCGGAGCACGTGGGCCCGCTGCGCCGCGGCCGCTGCTCGCTCCATCTGAAGCTCGATGGGTCGCTGGCGTCGCCGCTGCTGCTGCCCACGGTTGCCAGCGCCGCAGACGGCGGCACTGGCAGCGACGAGGCTGGCAACGACGCGCGTGGCGGCAGTGCTGGAGTAGGTGGTGACCTGGTCTGGGCGACGCGCGGCCTTCTGAGCGACGCGATCGCGCGGCACGTGGCGGCGGCGGCGAAGCGCGGCGAGCGGCACAGCCAGCTGGCACGCACGTGGCTGGGGCGCGGCTACACGCCGCTGTACGAGTGGTGCGAGGCGCGGCGGGCGGCGGGGCAGGTGCAGCACGCGCGCGACGGCCTGACGCTGCTGGCGCTGCGGCACATGGTTACCGGCGAGTACGTGGCGTCGCAAGAGGTGGCGAGGGCGGCGGCGGCGTTTGGCGTGCCGCTGGCGCCGCTGATGTCGGTGGCGGACGCGCTCGGGTCGGACGGCACGCCGCCCGCGGCGGTGCCAGCTGCTACAGTGGGCCGCGGCGGCAGATCCGCAACGGCTGCTGCTGCATCTGATGATGATGATGATGAGGAGGAGGAGGACAAGGAGGATGAAGAGGAGGAGGAGTTCGATCTGGAGGCGGTGCGCCGCGCGGTGGGCGCGTGGGTGGGCGTCGAGGGCGCCGTGCTCCGCGTCGAGAGCGGCAAAAAGAGGGGCGGCAGCGCCGAGCTGTACAAGCTCAAGACCGACTGGTGGCTCAGTCTGAGCACCGCCTCCAAGCAGGCGGGTGGCGCATCGTCGTCGTCGGCGGCGGCGGAGGGTGGCGGCGCGAGCTCTGGAGCGCCGATGCTTTTGCGGCTGCTGAAGCTGCGGCCGTCGCTGCGGGCGGTGCCCGCCGAGGCGATCTGGGCGGCGTGCCTCCACCCAAACTCGGACGACATGGTCGCTGCCTGCTGCGGCGCGCTGCTGGCGGGCGGCGCGGGCGCGCCAGCAGGCGCGGGCGGCGCGGCGGAGGCGGCACGGCTGCGCGCCTTTGCGACCGCCGTCGCCCTCCGTATCGACTGGGTGGCAACGGAGCTCGAGGCTTGGGGCGTGGCCGCGCGGGCGATGGTGCGTGGTGCGCAGCCCGATGCGGTCGCGCCAACGAGACTCGCGCTGCAGGCCGAGGCGGAGGCGGCGGGCTGGGCGCACTCGGTGGCCGTGGCGCTCACCAGCGGCGGCGATAGTGACGGCGGCGGTGCCGGTGGCGGCGACGCGGTGGCGGTGCGACGCGCGGCGATCACAGCGCAGCTGAGGGGCGCGGCATCCCACGCAAAGCGCGTCGAGCGTCTGCAGCGGCTGCTGTGGCTGCGGTGGTCCGACGACTGGGCAGGCGAGGCGGCGCTTCCCCGCACCGCCACAACACGGGGCCTGATGTCATCAGACGAAGACTCGACGCTGGCGGTGGCGGTGCCGCCGTGCGAGCTGATCCCGCTGGACGCGGCCGACGGCGTCATCGAGGCGGCGCCGGAGGAGGTGCGCCGCCGCGTGGTGGAGTCGTACCTCCCGAAGAAGCTCTCCAGCTACCTCGGCATCCCCTCCCTCGCCAGCCGCCCCGGAGGTGGCACTGGCGGCGCCAGCGCTGGCGCCGGAGGCTCCTCCGCGGCCGCCAGCAATACAGGTGGCTGCGGCAATGGCGCCGGCGGCGGTGCGACGGCGGCGGAGACGACCGTCATCCACGTACCGCCAAAGTACATGCACAGCGAGGGGAAGCTGCTCGGCGAGTGGGAGGAGGTCGCACGGAGATTCGGCACGATCGACCTGCGCGTCGACCTGCAGCCGAGGCTCGCGCCGCCCGCCACGCACGACGACCACCACGGCGACAGCCGCCACGCGCTCTGGATGGTGCAGTATGGCATCGTCCGCGGGTCCAAGAAGAGCTCGCCGGTGGGCGCGGGCGACGGCACGGCGGGCGCGTACGCGGCGGTGCTGATGGCGACGGGCGTCGACTTCTCGGTGGCCGAGCTGTTCGAGGCGTTCGCGCTCAGCTTCGAGCTGCGCTGCTTTGTTCGGATGGAGCGGCCTGGCAGCGGCACTCCTCAGGCCACGGCAGCAGCGGCTGCGAAGACACCGGTGGTGTCGGCGGCGACTGCGAAGGCAGCCACTGCTGTTCAGCCCAGCTGCACACCAGACGCCGCCTCCGCCGCCGTGCCACCCCCGGCCGAGGGATGGCGCATCTTCTGCGATCTCGACGGCGTCCTCGCCGACTTCGACGCCGGCGTGTCCGCGGCGGCCGCCGACGCGGGCATGCGTGCCGCGGCGGCCGACCCAACGTGTCTCAGCACCGAGGGGCTGTGGAGGCTGGTGGGACGGCGCAAGGGCTTCTTCGAGAAGCTTCCGTGGATGGAGGATGGGCGGGAGCTCTGGGGCGCGCTGAGCGGCGCGGCGGCAGCGACGGCAGCGGCAGCGGCGTCCTCATCGTCGTCGCCTGAAAAGGGCGGCCATGGTGGTAGCAGCAGGGTGGGCGCGCTGCCGGCGGGAGCAAAGGTGGCGTCGCTGGTGGTGCTGACGGGGCTGCCGGCAGGTAAGCTCGGCGCGCAGGCGCGCAAGCAGAAGGAGGCGTGGTGCCGGCGCGAGCTCGGCGCCGAGGTCGAAGTCATCTGCTGCACGAGCCGCGAGAAGTGGAGGTTCAGCGACGGCGCCAACTCGGTCCTGATCGACGACCGGCCCCACGACAAGCGCGCCGCGTGGGAGAGGACGGGCGGCGCCTTCGTGCACCACGTCTCGACAGCGGAGACGCTCTCGCAGCTGCGTCGGCTGATGGGCGGCGGCGGCGGCTGTGCTGGTGGTGTCGGTGACGGTGGTGCTGGTGGTCCTGTTGGCGCGGCGGCGGCCGTCGTGGGCGCGGCGGCATCGCGACAGCAGCATTCCTCCGCGGCGCCGCCACCGCTGCAGCCTGCGATGAAGGCGCGTGCAACGGGCGCGCTAGCGGCGGGCGTGGCGGCGGCGCCCACCTTCGCCGTCGACCCGTCTCGCATCGTGGTCGTGCGTGTGGGCGACACGCCCGCCGAGGAGGCCATGGCGGCCACGCTTCGCGGCGCCGTCGAGGCGGCGACGCCCGCCGTCGGCATCGACGTCGAGTGGCGCCCTGACGACTGGGGCGGCGGGCGGCGCGGCGGGCGGCCCAACCCCGCGGCGCTGCTGCAGATCGCTGTGCCGCGCGCGACCTCGGTCGCCGTCGACGTCGGCGGCGTGACGCAGGCGGAACGCGTCTTCCTCCTCCACCTTGGCGACGGCAGCGTTGGCCGCGTGGGTGAGACGCTGCGATCGGCGCTGCTTGCTTTGCTCGGCAGCGAGGCGGTGGCCAAGCTCGGCTACGGCTTCGACGAGGACGTGGCGAGGCTGAGCGCGGCGCTGCGTTGCCGCCTCGTCGTCCGCAGTGTCGTCGACCTGCAGCAGATCTACGCTACTTCCGCCAAGCTCGAGCTGCCGCCGCTGCACGCGGCGTGTTGGGCGGTGCTGGGCGCGAAGCTCGACAAGTCGAAGCTGCTGCAGTTCTCCGACTGGCGGAGCTGGCCGCTCTCGGGCGCGCAGGTGGGCTACGCGGCGGCGGATGCCGACGTGCTGATCGCGATCGCGCGCGGCCTCTTCGGGCCGTCGCCGGCGTTGATGAGGGCGTGGGCGTCGGCCGTCGCGGCGGGGACGGGCGGCGCGTGGCGGGAACCGGCGGGCGATGCGCAGGACGAGGAGGAGCAGGGCGAGGATGATGGTGAGGAGGGTGGCGAGGAGGGTGGCGAGGAGGAGGAGGAGGAGGGTGACGAGGAGGAGCCGCGCATGTCGCTTGCTGCTCCTCTGCCGCCGCCGCCGCCGCCGCAGTTCGCCGCGGAGGTCGCGCAGGCCGCGTACGCCGGCGTCTTCCTCGATGCCGCCAGCGTCGCGCTGCTGTCGTCGCGGATGCCGCCCAAGCACGGCAGCATCCCAGCCCAGCCGCACCTCACGCTCGCGCACAAGCCGAACGCGAGCACGACCCGCGCGCTGCGGCCGTGGGTGGGCACCACCGTCGAGCTGATCCTGGGCGGCGAGGCGCACGACGCGCAGGGCCACGCGGTGCGCGTGGTGGGCGTGGCGCCGCCGCACGCCGAGCTGCTGTCGCTCTGCGAGAACGCGCACCCGCACGTGACCCTCTCGAGCGCCATCGGCACGCCGCACGCCTACTCGAACGCACTGCTGGAGACGGCTGCGGCCAAGGCTTGTGCTTCTGACTCCACCGATGGCGCCACCGCAACTGCTGCTGGAGTGGATGGTGGCGCGGTGGTCGTGGTGCGTGGCACGGTGGGCTTCGTGCTGCAGGCGGCGGACATCGGGCTGGGCGCGCTCCCCGCCAAGCTGCGTCAGCAGATCGAGGACTTTGTCGACGACGCCCACCCGGGCTCCAAGCTGCGCCTCAAGCCCGAGCAGCTCGACGCGAGGGAGCGGCACCTGGTGCACGCGTACGCGGAGAGCTGCGGAGTGATGAGCGAGAGCACGGGGAAGAAGGGCAAGGGCGCCGCCGACCAGCGCCGGCTGACGCTGACGATACCGCTGCGCGGCAAGAAGAAGGTCGACGCGGGTGGTGGTGCCGACGGCGGTGGCGGCGCGGGAGGCACGATTGTGGCGCATGCGGGTGACCTCGACAAAACCAAGGGCAAGAAGAGGGCGGCAGGCGCGGGTGGCGGCAGCAGTGGCGGCACGCGGAGCGAGCAGCGGCAGCTGGTGACGGACGGAGCGCAGCTCGATCGGCTGCTGCAGCTGGCGCCGCTTGTTGCTGGCGAGTGCGGCGACGGCGACGGCGACGGCCTCTCTGGTGCTGGTGGCGGCGCGGGCGCGTTTGCGACGCTCGAGGAGGCGCTGCGCGGGCTGAGCGGCAGCACGCCGGCGCTGCTTCCGCTGTGCCGCGCGCTGGAGGCGCTCGGCGATGCTGCCGGAGCGGTGGCGCAGGAGGCAGGGGAGGCACCAACGGACGCCTCCATTGGCACGCTTCCCATCGGCCGCGACGGCCTGCTCGCATTCGAGGAGACCAACCAGCTTGCCGATCGCAAGGTCATCATCTTGGACGTGGATGGCGTGCTGCATCCCTTCTCGTCCACATCGCCCTTCAGCGCGCCATGCATGGCGGCGCTGCGCAGCGTCGTCGAGCAGACGGGCGCGGCCCTCGTGCTCTCGTCGTCGTGGCAGGGCCTGCCGAGCACCGTCGCAAAGGTGAACGCTGCACTCGAGGCGCATGGCTTGCCGCGCGTGAGTGCGCAGACGGTCTGCCCGAACGAGGCCGGGTACGCGAGCACTGGCGCAGACGCCAGGAGCCGTGCGAGCGAGATTCTCCGCTGGGTGGAGGCCAATGCGGACCGCTGCACCGGCGGCTGGGTTGCCATCGACGACATGCACCTGCAGAGGCTGCTGCCCGGCGGCAACTTCGTGCGTACCGAGGCCGAGGTTGGCCTGACGGAAGCCAACGCATGGTCCGCAGTCATGATGCTCGGCGGCTCGTCTGCAAAAGAGCAGCGCACTGGCAGCGAGGAGGAGGGCAAGGGCGAGGAGGATGAGGAGAGCGAGGAGAGCGAGGAGGATGAGGAGGGCGAGGAGGGTGGCGAAGGCGGTGTCGCCTTCATCATGCGCGGCCTGCCCGGCAGCGGCAAGTCCAGCCTCGCCACGCGGCTCGCCGCCGCATGGCGCCACGCCCACCTCAACCTCCGCCACCACGCCGACGACGACGCCGACGACGACGAGAGCGTGGCTCTCTGCAGCGCCGACGCCTTCTTCGCCGCCGGCGGCCACCTGACGCGCGAGCAGCGCCGGGAGTGCGGCGGCGACGCGAAGCTGCTGTACGCGCGCTCCTGGGACGCCTCGCTGCTGCAGCACGCGCACACGGCGTGCCGCGCAACCTTCGACGCCGCGCTGGGCCGCACTGCGCCTCTCGTGATCGTCGACAACGTCAACGCGAAGCGGGAGCAGTACGCGTACTATTCGCGCAGGGCGAGGCGCGCGGGCTACGCGGTGGTGGTGCTCGAGGTGGTGTGCCCCCCGGGGGAGGCGGCGCTGAGGGCCTTCCACGAGCGCAACGCGCACGGCGTGCCAATGAAGGCGATGCAGCTGATACGCGCCAAGTGGGAGCACGACGACAGCGCAGCACGCATTCTGCCGCACGGCGTGACCGCTACTGCGGGTGAGGCGGGTGGTGCTACTGCGGTGGCGGCGATGCAGGCGGCGGCGGCTGCGACGGTGGGCCAGCCGCGAGAGTCGCTGCTGCGCTGGCTGAGCCGCAACCAGTGCGTGCACTACTCGCACTCCCGCGCCAAGACGCACCTGCTGATGGCCGTCAACGGCGAGGCGGCGGCCTTCGTCAACATTCCACCCGCGCTGCGCGGCGACTTCCATGCAGTGTACGCGGCCGACGCGACGCCCAAGTACGTGTGCGAGCTGCACCAGAAGAAGTTCCGTCTGTACCTCGACATCGACCTCGAGGTGCGGGAAGGCGAGGAGCGCTGAGCCGCGCGGCCCAGCTGGAGCTCGCGGCGTGCCTGCGCGAGGTGCTGGGCAGGCAGGAGTTTGAGGACATCGTCACGGACGCCGACGCGCCGGTTGTCGTCACCGCGGCGCGGCCCACGCCCGTCGCGGCGGCCGCCAAGGGTGCCGGTGCCGGTGGTGGCGCCAGCGGCAGCGGCAGCGGCGGCGGCAAGGTGCGGCTTGGCATCCACCTGCACGTGCCCGGCTCGCAGTGCAGCACGGGCGACGCGCTGGCGGTGCGCCAGGCGCTCGTCGACATGCTCTCCGGCGGCTGGTCCTCTGGCTCCGGCTCCGGCTCTGGCTCCCGTGCCGGCTCCGGCTCCCGTGCCGGCTCCGGTGCGGCGCCGCCGGCGCTGCGCGCGTGGCGGCCGCTTGGGAGCGTCGACTGGGAAACCGCGCTCGACAGGCAGGTCTACGGCGCGGGCTGCGGGCTGCGGATGCTCGGATCGCTCAAGGCGAAGAAGGGCGTGCGCGTCGGCGAGGGACGCCCGTACGCGCTCGTCGGCGGCGTCGGGCGCGGTGGCGAGGAGGTGGGTCTGGGAGAGGCCGCGCGCGACTCGGCGGCGCTGCTCGAGCTGGTGAGCATGCATTTGCCGATCGGGGCGTGAGCTCACAGGTACACGAGTATTGAGAGTTGGCCAGATAGCCTGCCGTGTACCGCTGTTAGCCGCTGTTTAGCATCGATGCATAATGAATGCCAAAGTTGTCGGCGCCACCGCGGGTTGTAAAGCGCCGTCATGAAGGCAGATTATGACTACTTCTTCATATTCGGCGACGGCCGTGTTGGAAAGACGAAACTGTTGGAGCGCTTCGGTTCGCCGATGACAAGTACACCGAGGATTACATATCCACAATTGGTGTCGACTTTGTGCGCCATCGCCCACTCTGGGGCCACACGCTCTTGCCCGTGCCCACTCGCCAGTGTGCACGTGCGCAGAAAATGCGGACGATCGAGCTGGACGGCAAAGTCATCAAGCTGCAGATTGTGCGCAGCGCACCGAACACGCGAGCGACACCTGTGCCTGCTCTGCTCACCCGCCCGCACCTCTATCCTGTGGCAGTGGGACACGGCGGGGGTCGAGCGGTTCCGCCATATCAGCAGCACCTACTACCGCGGCACGCACGGCATCATCGTCGTGTACGACATCACCAACCTTGACTCGTTCAACAACGTCAAGTGCTGGCTGACGGAGATCGACAAGTACGCACGCGAGAACGTGCAGAGGATGCTGGTCGGCAACAAGCTCGACCTCGTTGAGGAGAGCCCGCACTTGCGGCAGGTGCCGCAGGCCATGGCGCGGGAGCCTCGACATCCCGTTCCTCGAGACCTCGGCGAAGACGGGCACCTTCGTCGACACGGCCACCTTCGTCGACACGCCAGCTTATCTTCTGCCATCCTCAAGATGGCAGAAGATAAGCTGGCGAGCGCTGCCTCCGCGCCCGCACCAGCGCCCGCGCATGATGCTGCGGCCGTCTCCAGCAAGGCCGCGTCCGAGGCCAAGCTCGACGCGGCGCTGGCCGCCGCCGACGCTGGCCGCCGCCGATCGAGCTGGCGCTGCACGAGGCCAACCAGGCCGGCGTCGACAGCGGCAAGCTGACGCAGGCCGTGCTCCAGCTCTCGGCACTCCAGTCGCCGCCTCAGCCAGCCCCGGCACCTGCCCCCGCGCCTTCGCCGCCGCCGCCCGGGCCGCCTCCCCCACCGCCACCCCCCGGCGGCGACGCGTTCCCGGCCAACCTCTTCGCCCCGACTTACTTCGGCGTCGTCCCCCCGGCGCCAACACAAGTCTCTGGCTCGCTCGTCCGCCCTCGCTCACCACTGGCGGACGCTGCTGCCGAGGGCGGCGCCTCCCCGCCCAGCGGCAAGGCGCGGACGACCAGCGGAAGTGCGGGCGGTCCCAAGGGCTCATCCAAGGTGCTGAAGACACACCACGACGACGGGCGGCCGGACCCCATGTCCTACGCCGACGCCACCGCTGGCAAGAAGCGAGACGCTAGCAAGAAGCGCGCCGCATCGACTGCCCTCGACAAGGCGGCGGAGGAAGAAGCCCTCGCTAAAAAGCACAACGCATCGTCCGCCCTCGACGAGGCGATGACCGACGACGAAGCCCTCGCCGCCGGACAACGGGTACCTCGCCGTCGCCGAGCGCGAAGTACTAGAGCTCAGCGCCGCAGACTCGCCACCGCCGCCGCCGCCGCCCGAGTCCGGACCGGATCCAGGTGGCTCGATCTCGCCGCCGCCATCGCCACCGCCGCCACCGCAAGAGCAGGCGGGCGACGACGGCGAGCCGGGCGACGACCCCGACTCCGCCATCGCCCCGGCGAGCGACGGCGCCGAATCCGATCCGGCAGACGCCGGTGCGGCCTTCCTAGACGCCCTTCCTGCGCCTCCAGAGCATGTCGACACCACGACGGGTGAGTCCACCTCGGAGGGCGACGTCGACATGGATGAGAGGCCCATCTCCCAGCGCCTCAAGCGCCGCGGCGGGAGCAAGCCCCCGCCGCCTTACAGTGGCCACGATGACGACGAGGAATCGTCCGACGAGGACGTCGGAGGAGAGAGCGTGGAGGGGAACGGGGCGGAGCAGGCGGGGGGGGCGCAAGCCGCCAGCAGCTCCAACACCAACCCACCTCGCCAGACCTTCTCTTGCTCCATCTGCGCCCGAGACTTCAAGACAGCCAAGTCGCTCTGCACGCACTTCAAGACGCACAACTACACGCCCGTGGACCTCGCCTCCAGTGGGCTCACCAAGTGCGGATGCTGCGCCCAGATCTGCTGCCTCATCCCCAACAAACTTCCGGATGGCTCGGGTGGCAACGGGACGAGCATGTTCTTCAACCACCTCTCGTCTCACAACGACCCGCAGCACAAAGCCCACAAGGAGAAGATCACGCCGAAGGCCGAGTGCACCGACGCCATCGCCAAGGCACTGCAGCACGCGGCGCCGGGCACACCGGGCGCCAACCTGACCCACGCTGACAACCGTGGCGTCTCGGCTGCCACTCGCACCCGGCGGCTCGCGTGGGCGCCCGCCGTCCCGGGCGCCGCTGCGTGCTCTGCTGCTGCTGTTGCCGCCCTCCGCAACGCCACCGGCGTCTCGCTTGCTTGGAACTCCCCCTCGGGGGTGGCCGACACGATCAACCTCAACACCACGCCCGCCGCAGACTACGATCTCTCCATCTGCGACAGCGTCTCGATCGAGTGCCTCAAGCGTCTTCACCTACAGAGCCAGGACTTCCCCGACAGCAAGGAGTACCGTGCAAAGATCCGCTCAGTGCTCGAGTTCGGGATGAAGGCCTTCGGCGGCAACCCCAACGCGCCCGGCACCGAAGACGGCGCCCGAGGTGCCATCTTCGTCGTCGCCTCGACGATCCTCGTCACCTGCCGGCCGAGCGGCTCGCCGCGCTACACGACCGACCAGATGGTCGAGCGCGCCGCAACCATCGCCCACTCGCCCGACGGCTTCCTGGCCCTCTGGAAAGAGCTGGCACTCTCCGCCTCCGTCCCGCCCACCCCACTGGAGCAGGGCGACGCTGCCGACTCGCCGGGCCCCTCGCAGCCTTCCATGGAACAGATGGTCAAGAGGGCCCACTACTACGCGAACCGGGGCGAGTTCGGCAAGGCGTGGGCGGCCTTCTCGCCCTCCGCGCCCGCCGACGGCCGCGACCCCAAGGTCGTCGCCAACTACCTCGGCAAGACGCCGCAAGCGCGGGCCCCGCCTGCCAGTGTCACCGCCGACGAACCGGGCGTCGCGCGCTATGAACTGAAGAGGAAGTTCTTCAACAAGTTCGCAAAGTCTTTGCCTCGCGCCCGCAAGGGCGGCCCGACCCAAGTCGACTACGAGCTCGTCCGCATCGTCACCGAGTCGACCGACGGGGCGGACTGCCTCTTCAACTTCTGCACCTCCGTTGGCTGGGGTGTCATGCACGAGCGTCTCAAGCGGCTTGAGGACGACCTCAACGCCGTCTGCCTCTGGAAGGACGATGGCGTCAGCTGCCGGCCCCTCGGGCTCTGCAGCATCTTCACGCGCTCAGCCGAACGGTGCATCGCGCTCCAGGAGCGCGACTGGGCGGAGCAGTTCTGCACCACGCAGCTGCCTGAGGTTGCCAAGGCCAGGGCGGAGGCACTCGAGGACGCCACCGTCACCACCGCCACCGCGGAAGCCGCGTACACTTCGAGGTGCATCACGCACGGACACGGCTCGGCCGAGGCGACGGCCGCTCTCGCCGACCTCGAGGCGGCCGAGGCTGCGGAGGAGCGCGCCCGTGCGCCAGTCAACTTCCCGAAGAACTACGCGTTCTCCAAGAACGACACTCACCTGTACGCCCACACCGTCGCGGACCAAGCGCGGGCTCCGCCTCTCGCAGCGAGCGCTTCGGGCCACTGTCGAGGCGGCCGCTGCCTCCGCTTCTGACGCGGTCAAGAGCCCGGCCACGGCACCGCCGCCGCAGGCCCCAGTGCAGCCGCATCCCATACCGCAGCCGCAGCCGCAGTCCCCGCAGCAGTCCCACTTCTTTGCAACGATACCTCCCGATGCGGTACTCGGGCAGCAGCTGACGATCGCAGCGCCAAACGGCACGTCCGTCTGGTTCCGAGTGCTGCCCGCCGAGTGCATGCCCGGCTCGCGGGTGCAGATCGCGCATGACCCGGCCTCCGACCCGGGCACCGTTCAGCTCGTCCCTGACCCGGCCGTGGTTCACTCCCTGCGGGCGATGGGCTATCCTACCTCGCACGCCGTGCGCGCAGCGCTGCACGAGTTCGGCACAGAGGCGTGTGTGGCTTGGATCTTCCGTGAGCTCGAGCCGCAGCCGCTCCGGTCGAGCTGGGCGTCGGCGTCTTCCTCGACTCTCTCCATTCCGCCCCTCGAGGTGAGGACGCCAGGCCGCGCTATCGATCACACCAGCACCCACCTCACGAGCCGGTTTTAGGCGTCCAAGATGGAGTCCGAGCCGGAGCGGGCGGCGCCGCCAGCCCCCACCGCGGGGTCCCCGGCGACGACGGCACCGCAGCCGCGTCCGCCGACCGCGCCGCCGCCGCCGGCCGCCCCTCCAGCGCCGGCGTCCTTCATTGGCGGGTTCGGCTCCTTCCTCTTCAGCAAGAAGTGAGGCCTCGGGGGATGGCAGAGTCCTGTCAGCAGTGTATGATGAATTATTTGTTTTGGCGATTGTTTTTCGTTGTGCGGGTCGGATGTGAAGGCTGTTCCATGACTGTTCAAAGCGAGTGGACTGGACTCCGCTGCGCGCGGGTCATGCTCGGATGCCGGCAGGAGCCGCCCGTCCGCCCCCCTCCCTCGGCTCGAGCTCGAGGCCGCGCGCGAGCTGCGGCAGCACCTGCGCCGCGTGCACCGCCTCCTTGGTGAGATGGCTGAGCGCGAACTCGAGCTGGTACCGCGAGCTCGCCGGCTGCAGCTCCATCGCGCGCCGCAGCTCCTCGTCCGCCCGCTCACGCTGCGCCGCGCCGATCAGGCGCCAGCGCGCGAAGTGCACCGCCACTCCTCCCCGCTGTACACTGTAGTCGGCCCCCGTGAACCTTCACGGGACCTCCTTGGCAAAGCCGCTTCAGCTCGTTGGCAGTCCTCGTTTTCGACTTTGGCCGCCCCGCGTCGGCCAGGTTCGTGTACCCCGACCCAAAACTCTTCGCCGGCCCCACCAGCTCGACCGACTCGACCGCCAACCGGCTGGGTTTGGCCGGCGGCGCGACGCGTGGCCTGTGCTGCGGCCATCTCGGACGTTCAAGCGGCGCCAGCCAGCGGCTCGGCCGCGCATCCTTCACACACGCCGCCACGACCGGGATGAGCGGCCCCGGTGTCGAGCCATGGTGTGAGCTGCATGTGCGGGGCGGCTGTTGCCACAGCAGGTCCACCAGACGGGCGTCAAAGCTTGCCGTTGGCGTGCTGTCGTGGGGGGTGCCCGACACGCATTGAGAGGAGCCGAGTGCAGTGGCGAGCCAGAGGCTACCTGGGTCACCAAGTGGTGGTCCTTGCCTATTCTGAGCAGGGCTGTGCTTTGATGGGGCTGTGCTTGACATGTGTGAAGTGGGAGTTCGTGCCGGCGGTGTGTGAGAGTGAGAAAGACGTGTGTACGAGGCCGTAGGAGCCGTGGTATGAGCCAGAGTGAGCTTCATCACCCAAGATAAGTGCGGTTTGGGACACATCTACACGCCTCCTGGCAGGGCTGGGCGGACAGAGCGACAGGGAAGGCGAGGTGGTGAGCGGACAGGCTGGGGAGTCGGCTTGTGTACGTGTCGCCGGATGACCTGCCAAAAAGCGTTGTTTGCGGCTATTGCTCAAAACGTTGGGAGAGAAGGCCTACACATTACGACTGAACCCATGACCCTAGTGCATGAGGGCTGCGGGACGGGATATATCACGGTCGGTGGCGCCAATGACAACCTCCGGAATGCCCTCGCAATGGCCTTGGATGGGGTCACCGAGGGTGCTCTCGAGCCCTACACCGGAGCTTCACGAGCCGGTGTGAGCTTGAAGACCCAAGATAAGAGCGGTTTGAGACACCTCAGGCTTGTAGAGTTGTTTGGTATTGCTAAAAATCTCTCTCTCTCCCCAAACGAAGGGTGGGAGAGGGAAAGGACAAACGAACAAAACGAAGCTTTAGCCCGTAACCCGATCCCGCCCGATCATCCGGCTCGCTGGGTGCGCTCCTTAGCTCCCGGCCCTGGATGTGAGGCTACCGACTGCACTCCAAGTGCTCCAAGTGAAGGGCGGGAGTGGTTCGATCCCACATGAATCCGAGACGGTTGGGAGGCGTCTCGGCGGCCTCAGGCCCAGTGAGGTAGTGCGCCAGACCATCCCCGGATCCTGCTGAACAAGCTCCTCTTGTAGCTCGATCGGTCACACCGCCATCGCCGTCGGGGAGATCGGGGACGATACTGCTTCATTCAGCAGCGTGCACCTCGATCCTGCACCGTGTTTGTTATGACCCCCCCAATGAACACACCAGTGAGGGAGGGCGAGGGGCATACCGTACGTAGCCCATAAAATCGAGCGACCGACTGAGAACCGCAGCTAATTTTAGGAGGAAACACTCTTTCCCCGAGGAAGGACTATAGGGGGGTGTGGGATTTCGCGCAATCGCTTGACTCTGAAAAGCTCGCGCCAGTACCTTTCTGGGCGCTGTATAAGAGAAAGCCTGTTTCGCGGAAGGTTCGCAGCGCTAGAACATATTCGGGAAAATGCTGTCGCTGTCGCTCGTCACCTCTGCTGCGGCGCTCTTCGGCGGCAAGGTGGCTCCTACGCAGCGGTCGGGTAGCGCCTACAGCTACGCGGCTCGCTCGCTCGTCGACAACTCGGTGCAGGAGCTCGAGCAGTACAGGGGTAGGGTGTCTCTGTTCGTCAACGTCCGCTGCCTGTAGATGCGTGCACACCTGTTCCCCGGCAGCATTTTCTCTGTGCACACGGCAGTTGCCAGTGGCGCGCACGCGACTAGTAGGGCCGTGCCAGCGGCGTGCACGCGACAGAGCACCGCTGCCGCGACTCCGCACCGCCCTCACCACCATCGTCCTCACCGCCATCGCCGCGCTCCAGGTCGCCTCAAAGTGAGGCTTGACGGACCAGAACTACCGCGAACTCCAGGAGCTGCAGGCGCGCGACACTCTCCTCCTCCCTCTGTCACTGCCCCTCGCTTCAACTCCAGCTGCTGCAGCCTCAGCCTCACTCCCCACCGCCGCCTCCTGCTCCGGCGTGCTCTCTCCTCACAGCTCGCTTGCCGCCTCACCAAAATGGCCACTCACACGTCGTCCAAGTGGCCGCCTCGGCCCTCCGCAGTCGCGCCTGGAGTCCCGCGGCTTCTGTGTCCTCGCCTTCCCCTGCAACCAGTTCGGCGGCCAGGAGCCGGGCTCCGCCTCGGAGATCCTCGAGTTTGCGCGCGGCAAGTGAGATCTAGCCGAGATCTAGCCGAGATCTAGCCGAGACTTTGCCGAGACTGACCCTAGAGACCGTAGCGCCGAGCTCTCGCGGCTGAGATCGAGCAGAGACCAGCCGGGTTTGCGCGCGGCGTGCTGCGTGTTGGGGGCCTCCATCGCCCACGCCGCCCACGTCGCCCGCGGCTAGATCGACCTCTCGCAGGAGCTTGGCCGCCGCCCGCCCCACTGCCACCACTGCCGCCCGCCGCTTCGCCTCAGGTACGCCGCCACCTTTCCGCTCTTTGAGAAGTGCGACGTCAACGGCCCAAACACGCACCCTGTCTGGGCGCACCTCAAGGCGGGCGCTTGCCCGCCGCTGCCCTCCCTGCCGCCTCTCTCCTCCCCCCGCTGCCTCTCTCCCCACCGCCGCCTCGCAACCACTGCCTCCCGCCCCACTGCTACCGTTGCCCCCCACTTCCCTGTTCCGCTCGCCGCCGCCTGCTCCGCGCCGCCGCTTCCCTCAGTCGCATGCCTGCTCACCCCATAGGCGGAAAAGTCGGACCCCTTCCCGCTGGGCGCCGACATCAAGTGGAATTTTGCGAAGTTCTTATTGGGGCCCGAGGCGCCTCACTGCCCACCCCGCCCGCCTCCACTCTCCGCCGTCGCCGCCCACCGCCGCCACAGCCGCCGCCACTGCCGCCGCCACTGCCGCCACCGCCTCCGCGCTCTCGCCGCCTCCGCCCCACCCGCGACATTGGTTGGCCTCGTTTGCTCGCCGTGTTGCCGCGGTGGTGCTGCCTCCCTACCCCGCCCCTAACCCCACCGCTCAGGGCGAGGTCATCAGCCGCTTCGGGCCCCAGCAGTCTCCCCTCTCGTTCGAGGGCGAGATCGCCGCCGCCCTCGACGCGTTGCCGGTCGAGGCCGCCGCCTGAGCCGGGCGTGCTTGGCGCACGCCCATCGTGTGACCACCCCCTGCCCGTGTGTCCGACGTGTGCTCTGGTGCTGCAGATATGACGGCGCACTCCGAATGCCCAACCGCTCCGGCGGCGGCAGGAGCGCGCCCGAGCCGAGAGAGCGGGTGCTCGCGCCCCGCTGCGGCAGCGCCAGGCGAGAGGCGGTGGGTCGTGTCACACATCATTTTCCCACAACACGCCTTGTTCTCCATCTCCGTTTGTTTACAGGACAACAACAACAACATGTACATGTGCGAGCACACAGCCAATCAGCGTCACAACACGGGCAGCAGCCATGTGTTCCGACCCCTTTTCCGTTTTATTGCCCCGACGGATGTGTCTCTCGCGTCTCGGCACTACGTCAGTATCTTCCGGCGAGGGGGACTCCCGGGCGTCGGGGCGGATCCGTGCCGAGCGCGCGCGTGAACGTGTACTAGGGGCGGTCTGACACATTGCCTAGCTACATGCACATGCACTGCCACATACACACCCACGACGCACGAGCCACGTGCCACGAGCCACGTTGTCGTTGACCATGACAACGCTGGTGTGTGTCGCGCGAACACGCGAGAGAGTTCACAGAGAGATAAAGCCGTATTCGCATGTGTGTGTGCCGGAGTAGGGATCCTAGTAGGGATCCAACCCGCGCACATCGGCAATGGACACCAGAAGGTGAACATAGACTGATAAACTTTTCTTCCACTGCGCGCTGCGGGTGCGGCGCGCCAGACAAGAGACAACCAACCGCAACCATATCACCTCACGCAGAGGTGCGGCCCTGTGTTCAGCGCGGGTGTTGCGGGGCTGGTCGCGGGGGTGGCTTCACAAATGAGTGGGTGACTCTGGTAGCTCTATCCCTTGGGACCCTGCGATAGGAAGAACTTGCGGGGCATGCGAGTAAAGAAGGCGTTCTCACGCGTCTCGGCCACGAGGCGGTATGGCGCGACGTGGCTGCCGCTCCGGTCGACGCAACCCGGCCGGGCCTGAACATTAGGGCAGGGCGAGGTCGTGACTTCAGACGCTAGTAATCCACCGAGTGGAACGCTTGAGTTGCGTCGGTGAGCGGCAACCTGCTGGAGGGCAGCTGTGACCTTGAGGTACGCGTCGGGGCGGCAGTGCCGCCATTCAAAGATGAGCATCGTCGGACTGAGCGTGCACCACCCCGCAGACAACCAATCTTGCGAGGCGAGCATTTCGCAGTCGAGACCTTCGGTGTCGATGATGAGTAGCCTACGGGAGGCGCGCCGCGCAATCTACCCAGCGGAGCGGCAGCTCTTAGCAGCTCTGTTCCGCACCCCAGCCGCTCAACGCTCTCCCTCTTTAGCATGCCGAGCAGCGACGTGCACCGCACCGACTCCACAGCTACTCGCGACCGGAGATCCTCCACCTGAGAACGACGGAGTCTGCCTCTCCCCTCTCGAGTAGGGTGGTGCGAGGTGTGGAGCTGAGGTTCGTTGGTATCTGATCCTTCTCCACCGTGAGTTTTGCGCCGGGCTTCTGCACGCTCAGCAGCGTCCGAAAGTGCTTCTCGATGTGCTGCTTGCTAAAGGAGCCTGTGGGTGGGTGGGGTGGGTGTGGTGGTGTGGTGGTGTGGTGGTGTGTGTGGGTGTGGTGGTGGTGGTGGTGGTGGTGGGGGGGGGTGCTTGCTGGTGTGAGGTGACACGCAGGCGAAAGGTACCGAGCTGTGCCGTCCAGTAGGGGAGGCCTTGTGTTGCAGGCAGCGTGTAGAATGGGAGCGAGCGTTCGTCCTAAGGCAAGGGTTAGAGCAAGGTAAACGTGCTCCACCGCATGTGGAAAGTGCTGAGCTATCCACCGCGTCCTCACGTCTTGAGACAGGCAAGGCGTGCAAAGAGGAGTGTATTTGAGCATGACCCGACTGGAGCAGCGGGAGTTAGCAATGGCGGATGACGACCGCTCCACACCCTCGAAGAGTATTGCACGATGGGGTCTCGCATCTAACGCTCCTCCTCGCTCCCGGGGCAGATGCCCTGTGCAACCACGCGCACGCGCGAGGGCGGCACGTGGGGCGTCGGATTGGCGGCCTTGACCCGGCCCGCTAGCTCCGTCGCGACTGGAGGGGACGCCTCCACGAGCAGTACGCTGGCCCACGTCACCTGTTGGTGGTGAAGAGAAGCGGTGACGGAGAAGCGGTGAGAAGGGCAGTAGCATGACAGGGAGAATGAGGGGAAAGAGACAGACTGACAGAGGCGGGCAGTGATTGGCACCAAAGGGACCTCGCCTTGGAGACTGCGTTGTACACAGGGTCATTCGGGTCGCCTCCAAAGTGGTGTGCGCCCACCTGCAGCGAAGGACGGCTCGCTTGGCGGCGGTGGTAGCATTAGCGGGGCGGCGGGCGCCGCCGCGAGGATGGTTGTGCGTGCCCTTGTGTGAGGCATCTCGTAAACCAAACCACGACGAGGGAGCTGTTTTCGGGCATCGTCTGGGCAAGTTTGGGATACAAAGACACCGAGAGGCCGAGTCCTGCGACGCCGTGCCCTGGAGTGGTGCGGTGATGGTGCAGCATCGCGTGCTGCATCGCCTGCCTGTGCAGCTCCGCACGCGCCGCGGTGACCGGCATGCGGTCCGTGTCTTTAGAGTTTGAAAGGTGTTGTATTGCATTAGGCGGCTGGGCGGCCGGGTTTCCCCCCGCCGGGTACAGATCGCACACAAAAGCGCATCCCGGGCCCAAATCTCACAGCCCCCCCAAAAGATCCGGTGTGGCCCATTGGGGAAACATATTTTGTCAAAATACAAACCTCCCCCCGAACCACCGCTAAATACACTGAAAAATATAAGACTTCTATGGCTGTGATTTGTGTGAGCTCTGTGCCTTGATCTGTACAAGGAACCTACACTAAAAAAAGCTCTATGGAGGGACGTGTAATGTCGTGCGACCTTCCAAGTTTATCGGGTTGCAGCGTGTGTGCGCTCGACAAGACCATGCGCCGCAAGAAGGCCACCGAGCACGCGCCCGACGTGGCGCCGCGCCGGCTTCGTGACCTGCATCCACTGGACGCCCTGACTGTCTTGTTGGCCAATTTTAAGGTGCGCGATTTCCGAACGATGTATTGCTTGCTGTCGTTAGTCTGCTCCGCGCTGGTGAATCACAAGTTGCTCAGTGGCCATCCACTCGCGTAGGCACTGACAGGGCCATACCTCTTTGGCCAGAGCGACGCCTCAATCATGCGGGCGCTGACCTGGATTGAGCGGCCATTTCTGATCTTTGCGTTCTGGGTCGCGGGCGTCCTCCTTCCCTTTGCGCGCCTGGCCAGCCGCGTTGGCGTGCAGTCGCGGGATGACGCTCTTCCGTCACGAGAGCCAGGCCGCGCGATTGCAGTGCGTGTGCACGAGGCGCCGCAAAACGGACCGGACGCGCCTGTGGTGCTCTGGTTTCACGGCGGAGGGCTGTTTCTTGGCAGCGCAAGGGGCGAGGACGTGCTTGCGCGCTACTTCGCCGCTCGCCTGAAGGCCACCGTCGTCAGCGTCGACTACCGCCTGACGCCCGAGTACCCTTGGCCGAGCGCACTGGATGATTGTGAGGACTCCGCGCGGGCGGCGGCCACGCGCTGGCCGCGCCGACCCATGCTGGTCGCGGGTATGTCGGCCGGTGGCTACTACGCGATCCAGCTGGCGCTCGTGCTCGCGCATGCTGCGAGCTCCGATGCAGCCGTCGACGTGCTTGGGCATGTGGCGATTGCGCCAATGGTGAAGGCTGTAGCCCTTTTGTCGCGCACGTACAATTGTTACTCTGATCCTTTGCATGCAGGTCGGCCCCTTCACCCACTTTGACTCGGTTGGCGCCTGCTGGGAGCTCGCACTCTTTCCACACCGTGCGATTCACTTTGGCTGGTCAAAGCTGCTACGTTCTGCGCCGCTTCCTCACAAGTGGGACTGGCGCATCTCGGCCCTCCTCGCCTCTGACGATCAACTGCGCCGCATCGCGCCTGGGATCGTCACTTATCACCATTTCGATACGCTCTGCGACGAGGGCCGCCTGTATGCGGAACGGCTCGAGGCCGTCGGCCGTCTCGCCGCCGGCGCCCGGATGCCGTACCCACATGGCAGCAGCGTGGGGATGGGCCACGTCCTCAGCTGGGCGGCCTCCGAGATGGAGTCCCTCCTCGGAGCCTCTGCGAGCGCTGCGTCGCACAAGACATGAGTCATCGGGGATCGGGCGCCGGCGGTGGGGTAGGCCTCTGGGACGTCAATTTTGCAGCGTCAAGGTGGCGCCGAGGCGCGCTGAATGCAAGATAACACTGTTTTGGGTAGACCGTTCCACCGAGGTCATTACCTCTAATCGTACCAACGGCGGAAAAGGTGGACATAATCCCTCCCGGCCCACCGGCGCCGCCAAGCATCGACCATCGGCCTCCCCGCAGCGGCACGTGGACGATGAGGTTGCCGACGTCGTGCCCCGCGCTCGTGATGGCTTCGCGGATGGTGAACCGTTCGAGCCCTTGTTGCACGAGCCCGCGTAGCTTGCGCTGTCCGCCTGCCCAGCTGACCGTTCCGTCTCTCCCCTGTGGTCCGTATGCGATCAGAGACGCCTCCCGAGCCAGCTTGCCGTCGTGTGGGTCTTCCACTTTGCGCCCGAGGTAGGCCTTGGCGACGACGTCGGCGTAGTGGTTCGGGAAGACGCCGCAGTGTGCGCACACCCATTGGATGACTAGGTCTCCGCCCGCCCGTCGCCACCTGGCCGCCCTGAGGCTGATTCGTTCGAGCAGGGCTGGGCGGTGATGTTTGTACAGGTGCCAGGCGCTCCCTGTCTGCTCCGCCGTCTGGACTGCTTCGATGGCTGGGTTGCAGTCGCTGAGGATGAGCAGCCTGGGGGCCTCTGTGCCCCGTGGGCTGGCCTCCGCCCTGAGCATGCAGGCATCGATCGCGGTGAGCTCGGCGTCGGCGATGCTGCTGCCTGGCGGTAGCGCCCCTCCGTATGCTGTTGGTGTGCCGTCGTCGCCAACCCCGTGCCACACTCCCCA